ATAGTTTGCAACCACGTAATACTATTGCCCCTGTAATAAATAGTGTTAATGAAAATTCATTCTTTCAAAAAAAAAAAAAATAAAAAATAGGTACTGCTCAAGGCACATTAAACAGGTAGTATCAGTAGAGCAAAAACAACATTTGCGTGTATTTTGTTGTTGCTTCTGGTATCGAAAGTGTCAAAAACTGTTCTGAATTTTTTCTTCTAAATCAAAGCGTGCCATGTGAAATACAAAAAATTATAAAAAATTAAAAATTGAAATTGGAAAAAATAAAAATTGTTGCAACTTTCTTTCCTAGTAAATTTGTTTGCTTCTCGAAGCATTGATCCATCCTTTACAAGGGCCAGTAATCAGCGGTTGTGCTGCTTAGTTGGGCGAACGTTCCAAAAGCTGCTATTCAATCGCTTGTTTTGTATGGAAAAAGGTTTCACATGCAAATGGATTTTAACAATTCAGAATTTTTGTGAGAAAAAATTAAAAATATTTGACATTTTCGAGACCAAATAATTTGAAAATAAATCAAATCAGCTGCTCTACTGATACTACCTGTTCAATGTACCTTGGTACTGCTACATACCTCTTTGCCATGCCAACACCCAAACGTTTGCTGTCTCGCCAAACGACTTGTGTAAAGTTCTTGTGCCTTGACTGAAACCACCGCCATGAAAATTATAATCTTGCACCTCTTCATACCAACTCCTCACAGCATCTCTACCGCTGATATTTGTGCGACCCATTGACATAAATATATTTTCGCCGTAATTATTATTCGAGCGATGCTGCAGCGTATTCCTGCTGGCCAAATGCTGTGCACACATAAAAAAAAAAGGATTTTAGTAAATATCTCGTTATAAAAAATTTTAATAAATTTCAAAGTTTATACACTGACCTGTGCCCATTCGTGTGCATATTTGCAGAGACCAATATCCAGTACCAATGGTGGACTGTGGTGGCGGGCGCGATACTGATTGTGTGCCTCAAGGCAATCTTTTTCGAACTCGCCGAAGTACATTGTACCGTCGTGCACTAGTCTGATTGAAGAATGGTAAATGTAAATGAAATTTTGCGCTTAATAAATGATTACAGAAATTTTACAATAAAAAATAGCAACTGATAAAAAGTGCCTTGCTTGCGAGTAGTTATGATTTTGTTGTTATTTATTTGTAATGCGTACGTATCAGGGGGTCTTTGATAAGTTTTGATGTGAGTAAATAATATGTAGTACTTATTATCATAAATACTACAAAATTTTGATAAAATGGTATGCCTATGCGGCAGCTTTTCTCGGCCACAGCGGTTGTAATGATATATTAAATAAAGGTCTTAAAGAATTGGGAAAATTAGTACACACATAGTTGTATTTGTGTGTAAATATAAAAATATTCATATGCACATATATACATACATATTAAAAAAAAAATATGTAAACAAATAGTAAATAAAATGTTTGTATCTGTAATTGTAAGCTTCCTTTAACGCTTTGTTCTGCCGGCTCATTTATTGATAGCCTCAACTTCACAAATGTTGGTTTTATTAATCACTAATTTTTACGATATGCTACGCATTATTTTTTACTATTTATTTGTCTAGATAAAAAAGATATGCAATAATCCTCACTCATTCATTAATAGCAAATGTTGAACCTGTTGTTCAAATAAATTACTTAACAATTTAGTGTGAATCATATTTTGTTCACTCCTGCGATAAATTTACGAAGTTCAGTATTTATAGTGGAGTAACTGAAGATGTCAATAGGGAAATGGATTTTGTTTTTATTTTGAGATCAAGAAGACAATAGCAATAAAAGCTACCGTACCGATTTTGCGAAAATTTTAATAGAATCTTTTCTGCCGAATATTTATAAAATAACTTGACTATTTATCATATTTTTGAGAAGAAATAACGATAATTTTTCCTAAAACCAAAATTAAAACCACTCAGTTTTGCGCAGAAAAGTCATTTAAGTTTTGCTTTCCTGATATTGAAAATTTTCGGAATTTTTCGGAACCATTCGGGATTTTTCGGGATCTTTAATAATTTTATGGGATATCTTTAACACTTTTCCAATTTTTTCCGGAAAATCTCAAGTAAAAAAGTGCATTTAAATTTTATTTTTGCCTTTCATACCCCAAATAATACAACGCTCAAACCGCATTTTTTTTGCATTTTTTTTTTTTTGAAATTTTTAGGAATATTTTGAGCTATCTTTGGGATTCTTTTGGGACTTTTTGAAATTTTTTGCTTTATTTGGAAACTTTTGAGACTTCCCAGGATGTCTTTGATACTTTTCTTGTCCACATATAAACTTTGAGTCCAAGACTACATTTAAAACGCCACTTTTAAGGTAAACAGTTAAAAATAAAATTTTTTTTAAGACCATAATTTAATTTCTGTGTGTATATTTTTTCAGATTTTTTTGGAACTTTTCGGAATTTGTTGCATTGTAATTTTCGTAATATTTCGGTATTGTGTATTGTCAATAGAGGTTTTTGGGGTAAGCTCGAAAATTTTCAGGTAAAGAATTGCTTGGAAATTTTAAGTGCGCTCTTTAGGAATGTTTAATAAAAAGATTAATCCAGGGATGAAAAGCAACAAAACTCTTTTTTAATTGATTTACTTTTCGGAATTTTTGGGGAACTTTTTGGAGTTTTTCGGAAACTTTCTGTACGCTCAACTTTTTCGAAAATTTTTGGATCTTTCAAAATAGTTTTGAGATTTTTCTGTATTTTTTCGGACCATATCGGAGCTTTGGGGATTTTTCAAGAACTGCCAGGTCCGAAATTACATTTGATTCTTAGCTTTGGTTGTTGTGAAAATAAAAATACAAAAGACCTAATGCAGAATTTTGAAGAAAAAATTTAAAATTTTACAAGATTTTGGAAAAGGCACAGCCATTATATTTGATTGTTTTGAGAGAAATCTTAGCGCTTATGTTTCTGACAAACTCAACGGGCACGAGTTAATCGAGGATTTTTTTTGTAGGTTGAGTAAGGTTAGACGGGTAGCTCTGGTTAGGATTTTTATCATAGGACGCACAGTGTATATATTGAGATGACCAGGAAAGGAACTATCCTGACCTATCGTTACAAGTCGTTAAATTATTGTGATTTTCTTACGAATTTCAGAAGGCCATCTAATGCAATGAAGAAGGGCTTTACAGAAATTTTAGACGCTTTCTTTGTAGTGCGAAATATTTCCATAGGAAATTCTCAATGGATTTATACATCCCTCTATTCCATACAGCTTCTATAGAAATGGTTCTGCGGATAAACAAACCTGTTCGCCATATGGTAAATTGGCCAGTGTCCCATAAGGATTCCGGGGAGGTTTTAAGAAGCGTGACATACAACGAACAGTGACCAAAGTGAGCAGCGCATGCCCAACACACACCACATATTCTCAAATCATGAAAACGGAATATCGAGGATTTAAGAATATTTGGAAATTCTTTGCTTCCTAGTGTTAAATACTTCTCTATTTCTAGTTCATAAATCGCTGATTTTCTTGTACGATCGCTCCACTGTCTACTTCTCGTTTCAATATCCACGTCACTCCAAAAACTGGAGCCATTGTCAGAGTCGTTGGCTTTTTACTCAAAGCATTGTTAAATATCCTCGCAATCGTAAGATTTTCCTAATTTAACTCTACTGCATATGTACATACATATCGTTAATATGGAAAAAATTTCACTTATTGAAAGCTTTAAGAATTTTTACATTTTTCAACCCACATATTTCTTTCAATTATTTAACACTTAATGAATTAAGTATATTTCATTTAGTCAAACATTCCTTGGTGTATATTTAAAAGTTACATTCACTTGTATGCAAGTATGTATGTACATATATGCGATTTTTTCACTTCATTGTTTTTTCTTTATATTCTGCACATGAAAAAAGCAACAAAAAGCATACACAATTTTTTCTGTGTGTATAAATATACCCACAGATGATTGTACATAAGGGTGGTACAAAATAAGTAAATTCGGAATCTGAATGCTCTCATCTCCTAGAATTATTCTATATCGAAAAAAATATTCCTTTATTTTTTTATTTTGAAATCAAAAAATATTTAAAGGTCGCTCAAAGTTTTCCATGTATTTGATATGGGAAAAACAGTTTTCCTCCATCGCATTTTCTGGCATTTTTTAGGGGTTTTGGCGGACCTATGAAAATTATTGACTTTCAAGAATTCTACACCATTTCTATGAAAAGTGTTTTTTCCCCACATAAAATATATGGAAAACTTTGAGCGCTTTTATCGACCTCCAAATTTTTTTTGTTTTTTAAATAAAAAAATTGCGTTTTTTTTCTATAATAAATAGAACAATCCTAGGGAGTGAGAGAATAAAAATTCCGACTTTACTTTTTCACATGCATTTTTGGACCACCCTATACAATAAATATGCTTATTACCTTTGACACGAAAGCTTAATTAAACACAATGAATTTATTCCAGATGACAATTCGACAATATCTAATGAAAGAAGTCACTCGCTCATAACTGCTCACTCAATTAAATCGGAAGACGTTTTGTGCGATGCGAGCAAACTATTTGCAACAATAGCATTTATGAACTGGAGTAATGAAGCGTTTTCATATAGAGTACTCGCATTGATAGATGCTTTTTTTTTTTTTGTTGACACACCCACTGGAAAATTATGGCTGAATTAAAGAACTTGTGCTATGTACATATGAATACTATGAATAATGTTTGTGTACTTCCAGTAAACAAATAAAAATGTATGCAAATAAAGATTAAGGTTCATTGATTTCTTAATGCGCCAAATGAATGTACATATGTACATAAGTATGTGTGTGTGTGAACGTGCGATGCCAATGAGCCTCCATCAAAGTGATGGGTGTGCTTTCGAGGCGATAAGTCTCGTAGTTATAATGCGCTGATTCATTGAAGCGGAAAATGAGAAATTTTCAATTGAAGTGAAGATCATAAAATATGTGCGCTGAAGCTTGAATAGTGTACCAAATGGATCTAAAGATTCTAAAATTTATACAAAATCGTTTATTTGTGGACAATTTTCGAAGAAATACTTATTTTTATAGTCATAAACTATGGCGAAAGGTGTAAGTTCGCTTGTTCGACAGGCAAAAACTCGATTAAATTGCTTGCTGTGAACTCTGTATGGGATAAATTTTAAAAAGCAGCCAGCTCTTTGAAATTTTTTGTATTAAGTCGATGGAATAAATAAAATATTACAATTTGGGTACCAAACTAAGGCTTAGTTTCCAAAATATTTTAGGGAGGGGGTTACCACCTGCTTAAAAAGTTAACTGAAATCAATTGATAGGGTAAATGATATGTTGCAATATTTGACATCCATATGACAATGCGTTATTTACCATAATAAAGTGGTTTAATTAGGATTAAATTCCGAACATTTTTTGGAGAGGTTTGATGCCTCTTTGAAAAACTTAAATTAATTAAATTCTTTGTCTTTGCCTTTGTTTAAGTTTTTACTCTTTGTCTTTGTCTTTGTCCCGGTCTTGGCATTGGTTTTGGTCTGGGTCTAGGTCTTGGGCTTGGTATTGGTCTTGGTTTTGGTCTTGGTCTTGGTCTTGGTCTTGGTCTTGGTATTAGCCCCGGTCTTGTTCTTTCTCTCTTGGGCATTTGTTTATGTCGCTATCTTTGACTCTGTCGCCAGCTTCGGCTCTATATTTCACTTTTCCTTTGTCTTTGTCCTAATCCTTATTTGCATCATTTGCGTTATCTGTATTCCTCTACATCTCTCTTTTTCGTCTTCATCTTCCTCCGATAAAAAAAATAGAAAAAAATACTCCGCATGAGAGACACAACGTACGGATCGTACGGCGATTGTTGGGCAAACCTTTACGACGCTCCGCTATTTTCATTTATCAATTGGGATATGTAATTGTGGTCATGATAAAAGTTTTCTCGGAGCTTTTTATTGTTGTCACAAGCGGCTTTGAAGTTGACAGAAAAAGGGTGCTTATCGATTTGTTGATGCACTGTAGAAAGCTGGTCAACACACTGATGAAAGGCTTCAGCCTCAACACAGTATCGTTGATAGTATCTTATGTGCTATGTACTTATGTGTGTGTTGAAATCACCTATTCCTCTATAACTGGGGCAAACAGCTGGAGCTTATCGAAGATCTTCGCAACCAGTTTTGAAAAGCTCAGTCGGTATTACATCGACCCCAGCGGCCTTGTTTTTCTTAAATCTCATTACTTCAGCAATCTAGTCGCATTAGTCTAATGGACAATGGACTGTGTTCTCCCTCAATAAACCGGCATCCCTTGCTGCCATTTAAAAGCGTTGAGAATTGTTGCCTTCTTAAATATGTATGTAAGTACAAATGTACATAATGACTGCTGAAAAAAGCTCAACTTTGATGTAAAGCCTTTTTTTACTTATATGTACTTATGCGCACATGCATATGTTGTGGCTCAAGATTTGAGCACTTTCGTACATACACCTGTAGGTGTAAAGCCATTAAGTGTGTGTTTGTAAATACCCAGCTTTTCGCAAAACTTTGCATTATAATTTGTAGCTAATTCCCAGTTAATATCACTTTGCATGAACAGTCAACAGAATCTTAAGTGCGAGTTTACATATGTATGTACCCTGCAGGAAATGTATCTAACTATAAGCTAACTTTAAGTTGATTAGGAAGGAGCTATAAGTCACTTATCATCTGTATATTTTCTTTGACGAAAGCTAACTATATTTCTATGGCGATGGCCGCGAAATAGTCAAGGGTGGTTACCTCTGCATTAGATGTAGTTAAGGCTGGTTACCTCTGCATTTGATGTAACTAACTTGTAACGAACTACTTTTGGGCATAAGATATCAATAGGAAAAACAAAATATTTTTTTAAATATTTTTTTTGTTTTTTTTTAAATTTTTTTATTTTATTGATTTCATCATATTTCATATTCTGATGAAGGTGCTCCCATATTCGAACTCCGTCAGACATAACTTCAAAATGATAATAAGAAATTTCGAACTTCCTTTTATTTGTCCTCATTTAGAAAAAAGTATTTGCGAAGTGCAGGATATTTTAAGAGAAATGAGTTTAAAGAAAACCATCTCCTTCATTACTCCTGCTTCAGTTAGCTTTTTGTACTTAGTTAACTAAAAGTTATATATTTTATAGAAAACCCGCGAAAAAAAGCTAACTGCATGTGGGTTATTTTTTATCAATTCATAATTTTTTTCTGCAGGGCTAGGTGTGAATTTACATATGTATTCGAACATACAAACTTATCTGGATCTCGATGATGTCAATTTGAGTACTGAAATATTTAAACTAGGATGTCAGAGATTTGTTTCCTTTTAACCTAAATAACTTACGTGACGATGGTCCTCTGCAATAACGAAACAAATTAAAAAAGTAAATCCCTTAATACTGTTAAGTGACTCATGTTTATAATCCTTGCTAATCCATGTACAATCCTTACTACTATTATTGGTACTACAGTAGGTAGTAAGGATTCGACATGGCTTAGACAAGGATTAGAGACTTAAGCCACTTAACAGTAGTAAAAGTTTTTATTTTTTGAGTTTTGAATTGTGTCGTTATTGCAGAGGACCTGCGATACATATATCGAGTTTTACTGCTTTGAAATGGCGATACACCGTTTTTAGTTTTTCAGTATCCTATCCAACTTTGATTTAAAACGAATGATTTTAAATATTTTTAGTTATTTTGCATTCCATAATTTAAGACTAAGTTTCACTGATCTTAGCTTGTGCTTGAAAGTAAAAGTCTACGTCCCTGATCTTTCTCGGAATTTCTAATAAAGCGCAGAGCCTCAATAAGGTTCTCAATTCACTCACCGGCAGAACTTGTGGGCAAATACATGGAAACGTTATTGGCAGCAAGCAAGGAAATTCGCGGCCAGTTCTAAATTATGCTGTGCCAGTTTGTTTATGCTCTGAATGAAGTTGCAGACCTGTAAAAATGCACCAATGATATGGCTTCTAATTTCGCCCGAACATCACCTTTATAGCTAACTGTCTGGTAACATACACATATATGTAGCTGCTACAAAAGCCAGGCTCGCTACGAACTCATGGACTAGATCCAGGCTCAAATCGAACAACTACGGAACTCTCCAATGTACAGACAGGCCTTAATCATCATTCACACAGAGACAACCGCCACTTTTATCAACTCTCGCCCCGTGAATGCAGTCATCGAATTTCAACCAACGCCTATTGCAGACGAAGAGCTACAGCTGCAATAAAAGGTCTGGATATTGCAACAGGTTAAACTCACACTTATTCAAATTATGCCCTAAACTAAACAAAATACATATGTATGTACGAATTGTGAAGGCGACACCAACAACCTCCTCAGTTGCTTAGCTTAAACCCATTCAGCAAATAGCGCTCAATGTAATTGGCATGTTATGAAAATTATTGTAAACGTTTAATAAATCTTTGTTGTTGATGTAAAAAAATATATATGTATACTTGAGTAAAACTAAGTGTAAGATCGATTTCTGTGCTAATTTGTAAATAGTATATTTAAAATAAATTTCCGCTAATAAATTCGCTCTGATTGTGCACCCTGTGATGGAAAATGTGTAGCAAAACTAAGTTATGATACATTGCCTACTTCTAGGCTGTATTTAAGATCGGTGACAACTGTAGATTGGTTGAAAGCGGTGATAAATTTAACCAATCAGAGATCTAAGAGGAATTAAAACCACTATGTTACATACATACATACATCTACTGTTAGAATGAATTTTAAGCAATATAATTACTACGTATTTGTTTTTGATCTGTTTAATTTTTATTTATAGTAGTTTAACAGAATGACGTAAAAGTATGTTCACATATAAATATAACCTCAATCAAAGCTCATATAACGCAAATGTAACCACGAAGGAAGGAGCTAGGAAGGACTTCCTCGAGCCTTTTGAAATCTAATAAAGCTCGTCGGTTACACCACCAAACAAGCATAAGACTTCTTTTTACAATATTACATTTTATTTTACAAAAATAATTCGATTTGTTCTTAAAGTACTAAGTACTACTTTTATAAATGACTAAATGCATGTGTTGATGAATTCGTTGTTTTTGGCAAATTGCAATATAAAATAAATTAAACTACTTAAAATATCACAGTTTATAATGCTGTGACTACTGATCTCACATATCAAGATTACAACTATTTCTCCCACTTGTCACCCTCCGGTCATTCTCCGTCTTTCCAATTGGAACCCAACGCAAAAGGTGAACTCGTGCTCGTCTTCACATAAAAAATACCACTCTTCTTTTGCGCCGGCTCACCACCCATGCGATACAAATCACTTGCCGGCGCCTCTTCGTTGCATTCCCATTCTGGTTCGCGTCGCTTACAGCGCGTGCCCCAGAAACCCACATTCGTTGTGATGGACTCGGCAAACATTTTATAGGCGCGTATATGCGAACAACCCACACAGTAGCATTTACGCTGATAAAAGCCATAATTTGGATAGAAAGTCGCGTTGCCGGTGGGTTCTAGGAAACCCAAATTGCCGCTAGTCTGTATTGATTCGACATACTTGGCATCGGCGGGATCTATGCGAAATTCGGCGCTGCGATGACGAAACTTCGGGCCGGCAGGATCTAAGGCAAAGATGGTGTTGTAGCGCGCCGGTTTGATTTGCGCACCCAGCGAGTGTCCTATCAAGTACATATGATCGTAATCAGCGTTAACGCTGCGCTTCAGGTGCTGTGTAAAGCGTGCCAATTGTGCGCCGAAGCCCTCAATCATCTTGACGACCGCAAAGTAATTGACATTGGTGGCGCTGGCGCTCCAATCGACAACAATCACATTGAAATCGCCGCGCTTAAGGTAGGCATTCTTGACATCCCGATTGAAGGAGCCGCGCGATTGACTGATCCAGCCGTGTATGATGATGCTGTGCGGAAGGCGGTGGAAAAGAGCGGAATTTATTATTAAATTTTTTTTACGTGGCTAAGTACTTACCGTGTCGGCTGTCTTGGATTGAAGCCGGCGTACAATATATCTTCACGCGTATCGCTTATGCGCAGCTCACGTCCAGAATCGGGGAAATCCTGTTTGAACAGATAGAAATTCATATTCATGCGCGACATTCCGAAGGGATTCAAATGACTCATGAACTTCTTGAGAAATGATAAATCGAAATATTTTTTGAAGCCACGCAACGCGCGAAAATCATTGTCACATTTATGCCACACGCAGAATTCATCATCTTCACTTTCATCTTCCATTTCCTCATCTATATTCATGATTTGATTCATATTGCGCTCTCTGAGGCGCTCATTATAGGTTTCTTGCTCGAGTTTTGTAAGTACATCGCTGCCAATATCTTCATTGAATTTGAGATCGCGCATGGGCTCTAAAATCGCTGCTGAAGCTGAAAGAAGTGTAGATACAGCTATTATTTATCAAATCTATTTAACTGGAGTGAATATTCTAAGTGATATAAATCATCATAATACAAATATAGGAGGCCATGTGATGCGCAGTTCGCGATGTGATATGTCAATGCGATGTGTTATTCCGTATAGGATCTGATTTGTCGAGGTCATGTGATGTGATGTTTTGACTTTTGTGAATTCGCGCTTCAATTTTAAAGTTAAAAACTGATATGATCTCATGTTATGGTACGTATAAGTTTTGAGACATTGGTTTTGAATATATTTATAATTTTTTAGCATAATTTTTTGGCATTTTTGCATATGTTTTTTTTTTTGAATTCTGATTGGGACTTATGTAGTATATAAAATTTTAAATTTAAATTAAACTCTTTTATCATAATTTTTCAGCATTTTTGCATTTTTTTTTTTGTTTTAATTCTGATCGGCCCCAATTGGGATTTATGTAGTATATAAAATTTTAAATTTAAATTAAATTCTTTTATCATAATTTTTCATCATTTGTGCATATTTTGTTTTTTTTTTTTTAAATTCTGATCGGCCCCAATTGGGCCTTATGTAGTATTTAAAATTTTAAGCTAAAAAAGGTAAAAATAAAAATTTAAGTAAATTTATGTCGGCAAGAATTCAATTTTTTTTTGTTTCTAACTCTAATGCCGTATTTTTCAGAAGAAAATTTATGTATGATGAAATGCCAGATAAATTATAGACCCACTTAGTCATTGGTGGCCCGTATTCAAATTTTTTTTTTTTCCTAAAGTCTTTAGTTTCCGTACTTAGGTTTTAGTTTGAATTTTAAAATTATAAAACAAAAACTATTTTAACACTGTAAGTTTTTGGTCGCAAATTTTCTATTATAAATTTAGAGTTTATATAAATCAATTAGGAGTTTTATGTTTTGCAATCCGAGATTTAGTACTTAATTATTTTTTATTTTTTAGCTTTGAGCTTTTGCTCCCTAAATATATTTTTGTATTGCCAGTTTGAAGTTTTGTACATTTTTTTAGTCGTTAGCTATGGGTCAGTTAAGAATTACAAAAAAAAATTATTTCCAAATTTGTAGTTTGTGTTATTTGAATATTAAAAAAAAAATTTAATTATAAGATAATTAGATATGTATACGATTTTTTATTTTTAAATACGTATGCGTATACATTTGCATGCATATTTTTGATTTATGCTTTTATGTTGCGAATATTTTTTTATTTCGATTTTTTGATTACGAATTTTAAATTAAAATTTTTATCTCAAACCTTCAGATCGCAATATCACAGAGTCGCTTTTATTTCTAATATTTAGAATTGGGCTGGCGCAATATTTTATACATTTCACCTCATTACTTTTTAATTATTATTGTTGCAATTAGAATTGACCTTGAGCAAAACAATACAGCACATATGTATATGTATCTTGATGAAGTTATTAACTTACCACGCTTATTAGTAATTACCAACAATGGCAGCAACAACAATACCAACACCAAAGCCTTACTAGTTTTATCGCACATTTTAGCAAAGTCGTGAATCACACAAAAAAAAACTTAATTATTTTAAAATTCGCGCTTAACCACAACGAGCGCCGCACTGACCGCCAACTACCAATGAGCAATGAGCAAGAACTTAACTCAAACGTTCTGCTAATTTAATGCCACGTTTAAATTTCGCTTAATTGGCTTGGTCCGTTGAGTTTTAATTTAATTTTATTTCAATTCAACAGCTACAATAATCCAACCGCTGTTATCACTTGCTGGCACAAACAATTCAGTCGTAAAGCCTTTCACTGCCAACAGTCGCTTCTTCGTGCAATGCTGCAGTTGTTAGAGTGTAACCGGATAACCACAACAATAACCAAGGCGTGAAGTTATATGTATGTATGTAATAGCAAAGCCAACAACGGCCAACAGCAATTGTTCTGCACCACTTTGTTCCCTTCTACAACTGTCCGACGACTGTCTGCCTGTCTGAGCCGCGCTTAGCAATGGTTCTCTCTGTGGCTCTGTTTGTTGATCACAGCAGCAGCTGTTATTGAACTCTGTGCGGCAGCATCATTGTTCGGGGCGTTTTTATACAACTTGCCATTCAATGAATGCAACAAATAGGGGACGAATGAATGTATGTGTGTGTGTGTAACACGACGAGTAAGTAAGTATAAGCTGGACCAGCTATCTGGCTAACAACATACATACATATGCAGTGGCGGATTTATCGTACAGGCAACATAGGCTGAAGCCTAGGGCGGCAGAATTAAGGGCGGCAAAATTTAAGACAGCTAAATTAAAAGAAAAAAATTTATTTGGATTCAGCTGCACTTGAAATTGTGTTTGTGTCTGTAAAATATTATTAATGATTCATCTCATTCAATACAATTCAAAATTAGAATTACGCTGCGAATTTTTCCTTAGTATAGCATTCGTTGAAATTTCCATTTAACTTTCATTCACGCGGCTTAGAAACAGCCGACACGCTGCCCCGAGAACGAGAATCATCTAAAAGGTTACCACACTTGACAACACTGCCGAAAAACGAGCGTGCATTTTCGAGAAAATTCTTGATTCCAAGCCCACCAGTTTTTCATAAGTGTATCATAACGTGAATAATCTGAAGGTCAGCTTCCGTCGTATGTCAAATTAGGCAGTGTATCTGTGTATGGTCTTCTGTTTGCCTTGCGCGAGGTCAAAAAATCTTCCGGATGAGCGATTTTATTTTGTATACTCGCATAGCGCTACTTCAATGTCCTGATAATTGGATTCTACTTGTCCAAACCTCTAAAGCATTTCAGTGCAGAATACATCGTGTTTTACAGATGCATGTACCCGATGAATGTTACGAAATAAGGTATGCTTGCGTGATTTCATAGAAGTATTTTTCTTATAACTACCTGAAATGTAAACAAACATTCAGCAAGGTTAAGCGGACATCACCGCGAATTCGCAGCTGAAAAATCAAGACGTAAAGAACTGTGAAAAAGAAGTGTTTGAAAGAGGGTTTTTGTTGAATACCTTATCCATGCTGATGTCGAATTTGTTAATTCCGTTATGTATTTCATTATTAACGAACTATATTGTAATAAAGCACTGACAATAACAATCATATTTGATATATATATATTTTTTTTTTTCGTGAAAAAAGGGCGGCAAGTTATGAAAGAAAGTTGACGTTACGTTGCGTTGCATTGCTGATATTGAATGCGGTCGGAGGGAGCTGCACACCGATTAAAGCTTTCAATTTATACGGAATTCCATATTTGCGGCTAGTGCAGCGACAGACTTTAGTGCGTATGCACATATCTTAGTACAGTTAAATATGCATTCTTTTGCAAATATGCACTTGTTTTGGTGCGTAGGAATTGAGTGTGTGATACATGTATGTATGTACGTAGCTTAAACTATAAACAAATTTGTTGCACTTTTTGCATTTCATTTGGTATTTTTCTCTTTTAATGCATTTCATTTGTTCTTCTTATAAAAAATTTATGTATTTAAATGGATTTTTTTACGATCGAGGCTCAGTGTTTCAGAAATTATTGGTAGGAGATTGAACTTCATATCCCTCTAAGAATTGTGTGATGGAAACTAACACATTCTCATTTATCTTACTAACCCATTTGCAAATTTTGCGTTGGTTAAAAAGAGACCAATATATAAGGCCATAAGTTGGAGGAAGACGGAAGATCATATGTACACAAATGTTTACATCAGATTTTTCACACTGCCCTTTAGAATGTGATAGAAACTTGTAGGTAGCCAGTGACAGAAATCTCTATCAGCCTTGCCAGTCAAATGATTTGTCAAATGATGGTCACTGTTCTTGCAGGGATATTAACGTCGAAGTAAAATTTTTTGATTTTCTAAAATTTATGCATGCAGTATTTACCAGGTATTTACTGTCAATGCCATCAACACAACCTTGGTATTTTGCATACATTAGTAGGACTTAACCTATTTAGAAGTGAAGAGGTTCAGAATCTTTCTTAGAAGATTTAGTTAGAGAACAAATAAGTTCTTCTTGGAAAAGGATGACAGAAAAGTGCAACGCCAGCAGGATTGGCAATTACCCAGCAGCCTCCCCCTATTCATAATTTCTAGCAAGGCTTTACGTCCAAAATCCACAGGGTTCTGAACAAAAACAAAAATATTCCTGTTAATCTGAAGTCGTAGGGAAATATGTGAGAGCATTTGTTAGCATTGACAACTCTCCAAGGGATAGAGGACAAACACGCATAGCGCAATGAATAAACCCATTTTCCGCAAAAGCTTTTTAAGGGATAAAGGATTGATCCAGTGTTATTTAAACTTCGATCCCACATAGAAAATATTCTGAAAATTTTATTAAAAACACCGTTATTTCTAACATGTTGGAAAATCCAAAAAAATTGCCTTTTTACACCTTTTACCAAGAGCTTTGCTGTGCTTCTTGGTGTTATAACACAAAACGGAGCGTCCTACAATTTAACTGTTCAAATATAGATTGGTGGCTTAATTAATCTCTTAAGTCTTAAATTATAAAATTTCTCTTTCCGAATTATTTTTTGCTGCTGATATCGGTTGTGTAACTAGTTTAATAAATATTATCTAACGGGGCCCGACCGCTGTAAGAAATAAGCCTTTTTTGGAAGCTGATCGTAGCAAAAATAGGACCTGGGCTCTGTGGAAGTGCGCACCTCCAGCAACAGCCCTATAGACAAGATTTTGAAAATTTAGTAGCAAATATCTTAAATTTAAAGTTATCTAGAGAATTTACTTAACTGGAGTATTTCTTTCAATTATATTTTTCAAATACGAGGCAACATTGCACTATGGGCAAAAAATAGATATTTTTTTTGTGTAAAGTCTAAATATGAAGATGTCAGCTCTAAATTTGGCTTAAATATGTTAAAACATTCTGGGTTGACCTACCAAATTTTGATCGGTGCGAGGACCTATATCATATAGCCGCCATATGACTGACTGGCACGCGATTGTGAAAGTCCTTACAGCAATTTACTCGAAATTTTGGAGGTACATGGATAAAACGGACCTCAGATTTGGATTCAGCCGGTCGAAATACATGTCGATAGGTGGGTCTGGTTGAAAGCATACACCACCTTTTTTGTGTGCGGTTTTAATTGTTATATTCAACGCAACAACTTATTTACATGTAATATTGGCGGCAGCACATGTAAAACGTACTGTCGAAGAAATCTACGTCAAAAGTTTTAGGCTGTCGTCTTTTCACCTCACCCTCTACTACTAAAACAAAAGAGTCCAAAGCCGTAAGCCAAAAACCGTAAACCGTTTAGTAGATGTTCGGAAAAATAATGTGGAAAACATAGAAAATTACGTCAAGATTTTATGAAGGTTAAGATCAAGATCAAACTCAAGATTATGTTTAAGATTAAGATTAACCTTAAAACTAAGATAATGACTGACGCTAAGATTAAGTTAAATTTAAGATTAAGGTTAAGATTAAATGTAAGATTAAGATTATGATCAAGTTTAAGATTTAAAAAAATAATTTTTAGGAAATATTTCTAAATATGAATGAAATTGGACCATAAAAGCGCGTCTTTTGAAATATGTTGACTCCTGCGCCACCTAGCGGATTAATTCATCCCTCATATTGCATCTGCATCGGGTTCTGAGCAAGGTTTTGAAATTTCAAAGCAAGTTAAATAAAAGCATGTAAAAAATGGAGATTTTGAAAAAATTTAAAAATAAAAATCTTGACATATAACAGTTATTTTCGGCCGCTGAATTATATACCTTTTTTGCCTTTTTTAAATCCCATACAAAGGTTATAAGCTTTTATAAGACACTATTTCATGTCAAAACTAAATACATATTTTTTAGGGTGTTTGATTATTCGCCTTTTTCAAAACCGGATTTCGTGTTATTCGAAAATTTGCAATTGTAAAAGTGTAGATCTTGCAACATCAAGAAGCAGAACACGAATAAACGTATAAAACGTTTAAGCGCCAAACATTCATTTAATGGAATCAAATGTGCATTCCCTAAAACCCCAAGGTTATAATCTTAAAACTATTTAAGGATTTTCCTTAAACTGGAAAAAGCCTCAAACTTTTACTTATTCGATAAAAAATTCCGGTTTATTCGATATTCGAAAAATCAAGATTTCAAAAAAACTGCCTACAGATCTCCCGAAAAAGCCGGTGGAAACCGGTTTGGAAAAACCGAGGAAATCTCCCTAATATTTATGTATGGATATTTGAGGTTGTCCGCTAGGATGAGATCTACTTTGGAGAGTATTTTCCTGTTATACATATAGATGACTACTTGCTCACAAAGATCAACGACTCCTAAGACCCGATTCATGTTTGTCAAGTGAAAACAACTTACATATTCACACACCGTTAATTTTAAATATTTTAATACTCATACGGTAACTATTCTGTCGCCATAACCCGAAAAAACTTGTTTTTCTACGGGCTACACTTGGGGAGTTCCGCAAAGATTAATGCATTCCACACCAATTCTGGCTCAATTATTTCAGTATTTTATAGAAACCAGTT